CAAAGCCCAGTTTTTATTTCCTACTTAATGGCTTACTATTCTCGTTTCATAGACAGAACTGTGAGTCTGTAGGATTAAAGCAGTTTTGAGGATCAATAAGGAAACTCAATATCCAAAATAAGCAAAAGCGGGTTGACTGTGTGTTGTAGAATAGTAAAGATGGGTTACATTTGTTTATGCTGTTTAACGAGTATTTGTCGCAAATATTTGATGCATTCTTTTATGTTGCATTTGTTTAACTCTGTAAAGCTGTCTTACTTTGCTGTCTAAAATACCTGATGGTCTAATAAAGAGCTGAATGACCAACAATTAGGCAGGAGAAAGGATAGGTGGGGCTGGGGCAAACAGAATAAATAGGAGGAGAAATATGGAGAACTGAAAAAGGGAGGAGAGGAGGAGGACCTGAGGGTCCAGCCACCCAGATACACAGCAAGCCATGGAGTAAGAAGTAAAGAAAGAAATACAAAAATTGAGAAAGGCAAAAGCCCAGAGGCAAAAGGTAGATGGGACAATTTAAGAAAAGATGGCTAGAACGAAGCCAGGCTAAGGCCAGGCATTCATAAGTAAGCCTCCACTTATTTGGGGTGGCGGGGCCCCCCGAAAGAGTAAATGAATACAAAACAACCAACTATAGCTGTGTTCATCTTTTCAGCTACAACAAAATGTTTATGAGATGTACTGACCTGACAGTACAATACTTAATCTGCACCTCTTGGAGTGCAAAAAAAAACCAATTCAAGTACTTTTGTACTATTCAGTTACATGAAACAATTTGAGTGAAATTTTAGTTGCATATAAAAGGATACATGAACTAAAGCTCCTGTCATTTTTAATAAAAAAGGTAGAAATAATAGAATGTACTCACTAAACAATGACATCTTAAATGAACCAAATTCTATCACTAATGAAAACTGACTGTGCTTGATCTAAGAAAGAAGTCTGCAGCATTTCATCACAATATAGAATTACTTGTGAAGGGTTTTAGGTTTTGTTTTGTTTTTTAAATAAAACACCTCAAGAGTATGTCAAAAACACCGTTCTTTCAGCACACAGGAAGCTTTTGAATTGCTAGAAGGTTAGATGGGAATTGTGCTTCTTGGAGAGGAATCTAGAAACAGAGATAAGAGAAACATGAAGTGCAACGGAGATGACAGGCGGTCTTCTCCTGGGGCTGCTTAGGTCGTGGGAAAATACAAAGCTAGGAAAATATCTGTTGCCCTAACAGTCACCACATTTAGATTTTTTTTTCTGAATGATTTCTTACAACAGTCCTTATAGTAGCTTTCCCCCCTTGTTTCTAGCATATTCGTTAAAGAAAACAAAAAGATTAGGACTTTAAAGAGGTTTAAAAAAATCTCTATTTTAGGAAGGAAGAAGAATCTGATTTAGGAAAATAAATGCAAAAGGAATTTAGTAGCACAGGTGTCTGCAGGAAGATGGTAGTATGCCAAGAAGGAAATAGTTCACAGCAAGGTGGCTCTATGGATCACGGCATTTGCTGCCAAGACCCATAACCTGAGTTCAATCCCCAGGACCCCAATGGTGGGGGGAGAGAACTGACTCCTTCCTACAAGTCAAATTCTGACCTCCGAACACGCAACCTGGCATGGGGCATGTACATGCACACATGTGCGTACACACACACACACACACACACACACACACACTCAAGAAATCTTTCATAGCACGCATACCCTTATGGAAGAAAGATGGATGTAGAAAACCCAAGGCTTCCTCTTTGCTCCTGTGTCAACTCCCCTATCTGTTTCCAGAAAGAAGGGCCATTTGAGTTTGCATTAAAATATTTTTAATGAAATTACAATACACTTTGTCAGCCTAAAAGGCTCCTCAAGTGTCACAGTAACCTCTCTTGCCATTAAGTACTTTCTCCTCTGACACCTGCTCCCCATCACACAGCATTTTCTGCAATCTTTTTACCCATTCCAGATTTTAACCTTGACCCACACTCCTTTGTATTCTTATCCATCTTTCCCTTGACACTGAGAACCCAATTAAGGCTCTGAAGCAATGATTTCTGGGGAAAACCAAATGTACCCAAGTCAATAAGTATAGTAGCCAGTTAGTTGCCAGCCTAGAGTCAATACTCTCTCTACACGCCTACTCTTAGTATTGAGAACTCTAACACAGAGGCGAGCTGGAATTATTAGATTAAGAAATAATTGTGCTATTAAAATAGACACTCATTAGACATTGCTTTATTATCATTAGAAATAAAACAATTAAAAATACTCGGAAATAATAATGCTAATGAATGGCTATGATCTTTCACTAGAGGTAGATAAACCACAGCTCCACAGAAATGCTTACTTTGCTTTTTGACCCTGAGGAAAATCTGTCCCCTCACCCACTGGCACAAGAATGTGGTTTTCCATTCCTCACTTAGTGTCTGAAAACTTGTGCTAGGGTTATCTTCCCAAGATGATCATGCAGGGAAAATGAAGGAGGTGTGTCACCAGCATTGCCCCAAGGCAACTGACAACGCAGAAAGACTAAACAAAGTTAGTTTAACCCAAGCTGCGAGAAAACCTATATGGTCTTTAGACAAATTACCACTTTAGTTCATGGATTAAAAGCAATGATGTATTATCACTGTTATTAGAAACCTCCAAAACCAGTTACACATGCATAAAAAAAAGCCTAATAAAATCTATTTCAACTTTTTGTGCACTATAGTCTATCTGGTAGATGATCTCTGGCAGATGGCCTGGCCATGAAGTTAATCGAGGCTCACACTGTGTCTATATAAGCTCTCTGTAAAGCAGGAAAAGTTATATTAATGATAGCAGGTCACTTCGAGGGTGGAACACATGCACACAAGAGTGCACACAACCAAGTCATCAGCAGTAAATGCTGGTTATCATTATCAGTCCTGGATGCTGGGCCTCTGTAACTGGAAATTTCAGTGACCCAGAATTCCACCAGTTCAATGCAGTTCTAAGACCACACCCTCAAAAAATCAAAACAAACAAACAAAAAACAGCAACAGAAACAACAACAGAGTCAAACTTAAAAAGAGCAAGGTGTGTGGTTTGGAATCTGCTGCCACCAATCATTTCTTCGGTTTTCCTCTCTTTCAAATCCAAAGTTGCTGCTCTCCACTCTCAACACTGAAAACTGCACCCCTACTATATTCTAATTAGCAAGTGCTTTCACATCCTAGGTGCCAGGTCTGGGGGCTCACAGCTGTAATTTCAGCGACTTTGAGACCGGCTCAGACTACAGGAATAAGTCTCTTTCTCAAAAAACAAAAATATGAAAAGATATGTGTGTACAAATATACAATTCATCTTTTAAAGTCCATATGAATTAATACTGGATGTCTTGGGCTAAAATTCCAATGCTGTCACTTCTTAATCTACCTTGGGCAGAATTCACAAACTTCACAGGCCTTACTTGTTTACTTCATAAAAGGGAAATAATACATATCTCCAGGAACTGTTGTATTGATTATGGGAGGGAACAAATGTCTCTGGCGTCCTATAAATACTTAGATAAGAGCTATCATGATTTATAAAGGAAACCTAATTGGAACACAGGTGTAGACCTAGACAAACAATAAAATTCATATCGAACACAAAATGTTACATTTAGAATCTCATTGTGATTTTTATTGTAAGAAGTATATGTGATTATGCATGTGGACATGTGTATGATGTTCACACACATGCACATGTGTGCCTGTGCATGTAAAGGTCAGAGGTCAACGTCAGGATCTTCTATAACGTCAGGGTCTTCTTTTGAGACTGAGTCTGAGAGGCAATGAACATCGAGCTAAACAAACTGGCTAAACCTAGCTGGTCAACCGGCCCCAGGACTCCTCTGTCTCATCTCTGCCTCCGCACTGACGGGCTTCCAGGCGGGTGCCTCCTGCCTGGCTTCCACACAGCTGCCGGGTACCAGAACTCAAGCCCTCACACTTGTATGCTAGACATTTTGCTTGACTGAGCTACTGCCATAGCTCACAGAACTTATTTTTTAATGGATCAAAAATGCGCAAAAGTAAAAGATGAAACTTTTGTCTCATTAAAAGAATAAAATTAAGTATCTGTTTTGTACATAAAGACTTTTTATAACCTCGGAGGTGAAAGTTATAAAGACAGCTATAAAGGAAAGAACTTTAAAGTTAGGATTGTGCAAGATAAAACTGCATTCAATGAAACCTAAAAGGCCCTAAGGGTCCTAAGCGGTTATTTGATAAAGATAATCCACTTGGGTGGATTTTACTTGCTCTAAATATAAAATTGTAATCAACAGTAGAATCTGGACTATGAGAAACTGCATAAAATGTCATTTCTGCAACAAGTAAACTTATGAAAAGATCAAATAAAGCTTGAGACAAGTTAAAGCACACACAGACAAAACTAAAGAGCCATGTGATTTGGTGATCAAACTATAAATCACGGTGCTGAAAGGACAGCCTCACAGTGAGGATGGTTTTGAGGAGGCTCTGCAGGGCAAGGAGGCGGGGCTTGGATGTAGAAGCAACAGGTGCGCTGGACGACCAGGCTCTGCAGCTTGAACAGGATGGACCTCATAGGCGCCTACTTTTAATAAGTCATCAGTCCATACATGGTTTACGTACATCTCTGTTAGTATTACATTTTAAAATATTTTATATTAAAATTACAATTTTACCAAAGCAGCAATGACATTTTCCGTGGGACCGTATTCCTCTCCTAGCTTCATATGCATGCCCTAAATCGAATGCGCCGCACTTGACTTTTCCCAAGCACAAGGCTGTGACAAGTGAGCAGAGACCTTCCAGAGACTGATGCTAGGCATGCTTTACGGCACGTAGAACTTCACGTAAGGAGTCCACCTTCCAGAGACTGACTGCGAGGCATGCTTTACGGCAGGCAGAATTTCACGTAAGGAATCCAGCTCAGTTGGTAGAACGCCTGTTCAGCGAGCACCCAGTCCTGGGTCCCAAACTCAGTGTTTAGAAAGATTGCTCCCAAAGGAAGGAAATTCTCACTTACTTTGTTTTCCACGACCTTGCCTCCACGTTCAATGTGTCTCTCTACATAACCAGAGGACAGCAACTCACTACAATGAAAAAGAGATGGCAATTAAGGAGGATACATACTGCCGCTGAGGTTGTCGAGCACACTCTCCAGGCCCTGGGTTTCAGTCCCAGTACTTCAGGGGCGGGGGAGGGGTGGCTTTAAATAGACATCACATTTGTAAATTTGCATCAGTTTCACACATATCTACTTTAACAATTCTTTAATTCATACTTTTAAAACAAAATCAACACTTTGCAGAGAGGGAAGAGGAAGGAAGGAGGCAGCAAAGAGGAAATATGCTAGACAGCTAGTGCTTCTACAAGGAAAGAGAGAAAACCGAACGGCCTCCACCACCTGTTAGCCCACGGCAGAGCACAGCCGATTCCCCCACTCCGCACCCAGGCTAGGAAATGGTAGCAACACCAGTATTTTGTTTAAAAGATATTTTAGTCATGTTTTTTTTACTCTAGCTTTCTTACTACTCATATCTTACCAGATGGGTCATGTATGCTACTTTTTTCTTATAAATTATTGGTTCCTATCACACACAGAAAAAGAAAAGGAATGGGGAAATTGTTGCCAAGATGGGGCAGCAGGTAAAGACCTGACAACTGCCCAGCATCCCAGCTGCCCAGCCTGACGACCTGACTTCAGTCCCTGGGACTCACATCGTGGAAGGACAACTACCTCTCCCATGTTGTCACATGCACACTGACACCCAAGCACCACATTTACAGACACACACACACACACACACACACACACACTAATAAAAACAAAGAAATGAAAAGTAAAACCTCATCAACATTTTGAAGCTATTCTTAAAGTCTTCTAAACAATCTTCTTGCGTGAGTGGATGCTCACCTAATTAGATACTTATCTATTTACTTACTTTAGACAATGTGTATTGGTTTTTTGCCTAAATGCATGTCTGTGTACCACACTCATGCAGTGTGCATGGAGGCCAGAAGAGAATGTACGATATCAAGGAACTGGAGTTAGAGATGGTTGAGACCCACAATGTGGGTGCTGGGGATTGAACCCAGGTCCTTTATAAGAGCAGACAGTCAGCCGGGCGATGGTGGCGCACGCCTTTAATCCCAGCACTCGGGAGGCAGAGGCAGGCGGATCTCTGTGAGTTCAAGACCAGCCTGGTCTACAGAGCTAGTTCCAGGACAGGCTCCAAAGCCACAGAGAAACCCTGTCTCGAAAAACCAAAAAAAAAAAAAAAAAACCCACAAGAGCAGACAGTCCTCTCAACTGCTGCACCATCTTGCATAAGAAAACTACTACTAAAGAAGGTTCCTAAAATATACACCTGCACATAATGAATTTAAGTGGAGATACATAATGGGGGAGAGAATAACCCAAACAGACATCACATGCCACCCAATTAAATCCCCAGTACCAGAAATGGGATACAACTCTTTCAGTCATTGTCAAAGGGGTCCATAAGCACCCCTAAGTCATCACAGACTATTGGCAATGCTGCTGGTTACTCTCGCGAACCCACTGCTGAAGGCAGCACGTATGCACGTATTTGAACATGGAGGAACTGAGGTTGGGCTCTCCTAGAAGCTTCATCCCTTGTGACTAGCATTCACAGTGCTGGAGAAAAATGAGAGGAGAAAAGTCATCATCAGTTTCACCCGGCAACAAACTGATTTTTTTCTCTCCCCCAGAAGTTATCAATTACATATAGCTTCTTTGTTAGACGTGGGACTCTGCGTCCACTTCCATTCTCAGTACTGAGATTTTCTCTGGCTAGAACTTGTCGAGGTCTTGTGCATGCTCTGGCAGGCAATCTCTATGAGCTCATGCGTGCATGAGTGTCTGGAGAATACTGTTTCCTTGGAGTCATCCATTACTTCTGGCTCTTACAATCTTTTCACCGTTCTTTTCTATAGATCCCTGAGCCTTGAGAGAAAGGGAGTGAAAGACATCGCATTTAGCGCTAATGCTCCTAAGTCTCTCCTGTACATATAGCCCAGTGATGGGTCTCTGTGTTACTTATCATTTACTGCAAGAAGAAGCTTCTCTGCTGAGGACTGAGCAATGCACTGGTCCATGGGTATCGCAATACATCATTAGGAGTCATTTCACAGTTATGCACCTTTAGCGGAATAATAGTAGGTTTACTCTAGATAGGTTCACGGCCTAGCTCGTCTTAGGTTCTTGGCCTCATTAACAGTGTCAGGGATGGATTCCGTCTCACTGAACTAGCCTCAAATCCAGTTTTAAATTGGTTAGTTATCCTCCTAACATTTGTGCCACTATTGTACTGGTGGGTGTGTCTTCTAGGCAGGTCACAAACTGCCTGTCTCTTCACCCCAGAGTTGTGGTTACAGGCAACCCTGTCCTTGTAGCACTTGTACAGCCGATCCTTTTCCCACTGAGCCATCTTCCCAGGGCCAAAAAGGTCTTTAGATATTTTAAAGCACTAAAATATAAATAAAATTACCATGAATAACTAAAAAGAATACATGAGGCTATAAATTTTTAAGGCCACTTTATTTATACACGCTGAGCCAACTTTTTCAAAATCTTCTAAAAATGGTTTTATGAATCATTCAAGTCAAGTTGTCCCAACTGCAAACCTCTGAGCCCACGGCCCATCATGAGCACACGGTCCGTCATGAGCACACGGCCCGTCATCATGAGCACCATGCCTACAGTTGTTTGAAATGTAAACTAAATGTACAAGTAAGTGCTGCATTAAAGCATACCTACAGTGTTGCAGAATCTATGACTATACGCTCAAAACTAAAGTCCAAGTGTCATTTACTTTTGAGAATGTATATTTATATTTCCCCTTCACCTGTCATGTATGAGTGTTTGAGAGAGACAGTGTGTGTGTGTGTGTATGTGTAAGTATGTGTGTGTGCTTGTGTACACATGTGTGTGTGGGCACATGAAGTTCATCAGTTTGCCTAGTGTTGCGGGCTAGTGAGCTCCTAGGATCCACTTTTCTCTGCCCCTCCCTACAGGAATACACAGCCATGTCTGGCTTCTTATGTGGGTACTGGGGGCTCAAACTCGGGTCCTAGCGCTGACAGAGCAAGTGCTTTTATTTACTGAGCCGTCTGCCCACTCCATGGAATAGGTTTAGCTCTTCGCTTTAAGTGAGAGCCAGCTAAGATGTGCTAGATTGTGTGCTGCAGACTTATAAAAATAAAATAAAATAAAATAAAAAGTAATTACTATCAAGATATTTATCATCTTATTATAAATTCCGGGGCAATTATAATTGAATTTTCAGTTAACATTCAGCTCTGTTAGATGAATAAACTTGAGCCTGTGTGTGTGTGTGTGTGTGTGTGTGTGTGTGTGTGTGTGTGTGTGTGTGTGAGCGCACACACGTGTGTACTTTGAGACATTTTAAGTATGGATGACTAGGTAATAGGTAAATTGCGTTATATGTAGATGCCATCTATCTATGAACTTGCCCAATAACTGAAAGAATAACAGTTGCACAGACAACTAGAACTAGCAATCTTTTTCTTTTTTTAGGTCACTTCTGGGCCTTCTGGGAACCCTCAGAAGAGAAGGCAGATGCAGCGTGAGAGAAGCAGTATGCGGAACCTCGTACGCCTCAGAAAGAGCTCGTGTGCTCCCCCTCCCCAGCTCACTCTCTATTCTAAGTCTGCGAACCTCTCTGCCCCTGGATGTTCGCTCTGTGCTTAAACTGATTTCTCTTTGGTTTAAGGGTTAATTTGTTTATCTACCTCTGAGGCAGCCCTCTCAGTAGCAAGCCTGGAGGCTGCCACTGACCACATCAGGGTACTTACAGGGCTGGTCCACCCACAGCACCACTAAGAATAAGGGCACTTTGTTTTCTAAAATTTATCGTAGTTCCTATGTGCGTATAGGTATTTTGCCTACAGATATGTCTGTGTACCAGGTGTGCCTGGTGCCTACAGAGGCCGGAAGAGGGCATCATAGCCACCGGAGCTAGAGTTACAAACTGTTGTGGGCCGCCATGTGGGTGTTTAGAATTGAATCCAGGGTTCCTGGAAGAGCAGCCAGTGCTCTAACCAATGAGCCATCACTCCAGCCCCAAGAGAATTTTTAACTTTCTGCTCTGTCATCAATCAGTATAATGGTTGGGCTGTTCTCTTAATTGGCTCCTCTAATGGCCCTAATGTAGCTGCTGCAATTTCTAAGAACCTCATGAAGACAAATATATCCCAAGACTTAACAGAATGAAAGAGGGAGGGGGAAGGAGGGAGGAATGGCTAGCCTATAGTCCACGCTTCTTTAAAGGGAAACAAATGTTTCTTTTCCAGAATTGCGTTACATGGCCACACCTAGGTCAGTCCTTTGACAAGGACATTAATCACTGAATACTCTAGAGTCTTCTTCGGGGAACAGGAAATCAGGGGAAAAGGGCAGCAGAAAGAATAACTGTCGCACAGACAACAGCAGCAGCCTTTCTCCTTCTTTTCTTAGGTATGTTAAATATTTCACACATTTCTAAGTGTTTTGGACAAAATGGTAATCTATGTAGTGCAGACTCACCTCAGACAAAACAGGGGACTGCAACAGCATCCACACCACACTTGGTTAACTCAGCCTGTGTCCCAAACAGGATAGGCTCTGGCCAGAATTCTACACGGAGTTCTCCCTTGGCTTTGATATTGTATGACACATCTCCCCCGGAAATGGGGCGGGGGTGGGACACTACCGCATAGAGGCAATGTTATTAACATAACCAGCCAGGTTCCAGCTCTTGGGAATCTGAGCTAGCAAATTCCGGGAAGAGGGAGGTGCATATCTTTATGCAACTGATAAAGGACATTGAGGCTGGTCTCTAGAAGAACATAGTGGCCATCTTTAGGATAGTCTTTGGGAGAACAACAGGGGTAGCAGCAGTAATAATTATTGTAATTTCTTAAAAACAGTTCTTAAGTATTCTAGATTTTCAAATTTCAAGGGAACATTTTCATTCGAATTATAAAATCCAGGTGAGAAGACACCATGAACCACAAGGAGAGTGATTACAGCAAAGATAAAGCCCTCCGCTCAGGAACCATGTAGCCA